ATTTTCTATTGCACTTTATTTCAAGCGATTGGAACTGTTATGAACTATCGAGGCTATATCTGTCTAGTTATTGAGTGCAAATGATTGATGCTGACAACTCTTTAAGTAGTCATGACAGTAGAGGTACGCTGTTAAATGACGTGAAACTAGCTATACCTCGTTAAGTCCTGTAATACGTGTAAATTGGTAAATTCGCTTTGTTTCCACCAGTTCTGCATTTTGCTACACTATTACTGATAATCTATCGTATGGAAAGTTTGGACTTTGCTGGTTACTAGCATGATTAATTGTTTCAAACCACTTATGAAAACGTCAATAATAATACAGATGTTTCATTAGTTGTCTAAATATTTGGGAAATGAAGCTAACTGGTACACGTTGAAAATACATGCAAACACAGACTCATTAACATCTACATATGCATGCACTATTCAGAAAACTACTGCGCGATGAATTAGTTCAAACAATTGTGTTTTCAAACCCCGCCCATTTTTTCCTACTATTTATCAAACATTGAACTTTTGACCAAAACACCTGGAATTTTGACCGTATTACTCTTTTAGATTCAAACATAGATAACTAACGTGTATCAAGTGGAGTAAAACACTTATTGTTTTTTCCGGTCTCCATGTTATTATAAATGGAAAAGCAACTAATATGTTCAGTGGAGAAGGGAAAGGAATAAAAAACACTCATTATTGGATTAACCCAAAATATGTTGGTCTATCGATAGGGTTTGTTCTAGCTTGTGTCTAATAATTACTTGCATAAGTAACTCCAATAAATGGAGTGTATAAAACAATAGTAATTGTAAATGCAAAAGGCAAATCCTTCAATAATAAGAATGTGATTTCACTGTTTCAAAATGAATTCACTACTGTATCTTGGCATTGGGTAGAATACATTGGTCGAATCTTCAAATACGTCCGTTCTTGTGGGGTATGTGAATTATAAATAAATAGGAAAACTTTAGACAGTAGTTTATACCATCCATTCAAGTCACTGGCTGACATCCGGTGGCTTGTTAACCGTTTATGCTGAATATCCTCCCATACCTAAGTTGAAAGTCTGAGAGAAAAGATCACGATTTCCAACGAAAGGGATGAACTCGCCTCAGCAACAGGAATAATGTCGTAGAGGCTTCACAAAAATCCAATTTTTCAAATGCCATATAGGTAGGTAATTTTCAACCTAAAAAAGCTTTCAGAGTAGTGACTGTCAAAGAGTAACATCAACTACAGAACCATTAAAAGCCAGGGGACAATGTGAATCTGTTTCTTCTGAATTTAGGATTCCTTAGCAGTGTGGAAAGTTGACTGCACGAATGGTCAGGAGCGGACTGGGCTGGGATCCAATGGCTCATATTTTCTGATCGTCGTTCACATTCATCCATAAGCGTCCTTTCTCACTACGAATTTCATTGATTACAGAATCACTTCACTTGGAATTTAGTTTTTGAGTTATCATGTGCACAGATCACTGAGTGATATGAGTGAGATTGGTGTAGAGATATGCTCATGTTAGTTAGATTTTTTTCTTATTTAGTGAAAGATGTTTCTGCATTGAAGTGCATGTTGTAGACACTGTGTGGGAGCGGAATGTACCACAACGTTGATCAAAATGAAGTAAGTAACTGAGTTACATGTGATGATATTTCAAAATCAAGTCCACTAAACTCCCTATATAGGTAGATTCCATTTTGTTGCATTGATTTGATTTAATAATTAAAAGCAATCTTCATTCTACCATACTACACTTTTAATTAAGTACAACATATTTTGAGCATGCATGAGTGGACTGATATCGTATCTAAACTATCTTACGAATGGAACTTTCTTGATGCAAAACCATATCTAGTAATGAAAGATTCAAAATTGATGAGAATGATATAAAATAAAATTCAGCTTCGAAAATATTGTAAAAAAGAGGAAGAGATTTGTCACAGAGGCTTCAAAATCTGTACAGTCATTTACATACCGCCCTGACATGATGTGAATGGCTAGAAGCTTGTTACATTTATGAAATAGCCTTGTGTGCAACTTTGCAGGTACTCATTCGTCACCTCAGATACTCTTCGTGGTCCAACACCCCCCCCCCCTCCAGACAATAAAACATAAATGATGGTACAGCTAAAAAAAGAATATCTTTGTGTAAGATATATGAACTAGGCAACACTCAATTCGTTGAGATTTTTATCACTTCAGATGAAGTCGAAGCCTAGTCTTGTTACTTTTTTTAGTAGCGTAAGTCCATTCCACTGACAGAAATAATTAGACGATGATTTTACAGTTACTGACATGACTTATATGGTGAGCAGTTATCTGTAAAAGCTTATGACAAAATAAAGAAGGGAGACTATGAAAGCCGAACGTCCAGTACTTCATAAAGTGATTTTCATTCATCGTGAATGCAAAAAGTATAAAATTCCAACGAAAAAAACAACAACAAAACACCAATAGACAAATGGAATGGGGAGTGGAAAGACTTCGCAATGATCCAGGTGGGTTTTGTGTCCAATTGTATTCGAGAAAAGTATTGCACAGAAAGGGTTAGTCAATCAAAGAACATGTATTGATCTTTTGTGAATACGCTGCTAAAGCGTTCTCTTTGAAAAGAAGGAATATATCTACAAGAACAATAGCCGGCTGGATGTTGGCATCACAGTCAATCACATCTGCACAATGGTAACATATGAGTAATCCTAGCTTTAGTTCATTTCGTAGAAGCTACTTTCATTACGTTTTCCTGAGTTGATATTTGTAAAGAGGCAAACAGTTTAACAACTTCGCATTGCCCTGCTGGAAAGATTTAAATCCTACTGTAGCATTCCATTTCCGATGATCCAGTAGGTTAAGCACACTGCAGTTTGAGTTATGTAGTTCAAAATGCTAAGCTGTATTACTAAATAAATACACATCAAAGTCACCTTTAGGTACTTTGGTTGGCTAAGTAGCCTTGAGCCAAGATTCTTCGACCTGTGCAACTAATTCCACGGTAAATATAAATTTATTCACGCTTCTCAATTTCAACTGGAGGACATTTTATCAAGGACAATGATTTGGCCTATGAAACAACAATAATCAATACTAATTTTATGAAATTCATTGTTGTCTGTAGCTCTCCTTTAGACATCCCTTCACTGTTTTCATCAATTTTGAAATCACTGAAATTTGTTGGTTCAAAGTGGTTATGCCATCTACCTTCTTGTTTCTTTTTACTTGTGTGGTAGGCAATTCGAATCTCATTTCCACCATATATTCTTACTCAGTAGTCAAAATAATTGCCAATATATGCTGAAATTATTAAGAGGTTATCATATATCGTGGACCTATTTTGTATTGAACAACTTGACTTTGCTACCTTCAGTGGTGAAAGCACATTTTGAGAAATGCATGGCAAAGTACAGTAAATGTAGGAAAACCAATTTCCTAACTGCTGTCCCTTTAGGAAGTAGGCTAGTCACAGAAAAAACCCAAGTTTTCAAGCATATGTTGCAAATCCATATATTAGTCTGTTGGTTCCTACATGTCAAGTTGATGCTAATAATGTAGTTGCGAGTATAAGAAACGGTCATAAGTTGCATATTCGAACTAATAGATCACAACTTTACCGATTCACATCAGGTTTTCGATAAGAAACAGAAAAAAATCATTTCAGTTTGGTGATTCGACAAAAGTGAATAAACACAGCGAAAATGAAGAGGTGTCTGAAGAAGAGTTATATTTAATCCAAATTAAAAATTCAGTTTGTAGGTTTGTGGAGAATTCCTCCCAAGTGCTCATTAGTGACTTGCTTCAAGATGAGATTTACCAAAGTTCTAATGAGAAGTCATGACCAGTGGGACGAACTATTTCTGACGTGAGGTCAAGTACTCAGGGATGACATTGGGTTGAAGTCGCACTATATCGTGGACTGACAGAAGTAGGAAAATGTGGACCATTAGACTCCGACCAAGCGTGCTTAACGTGAAACCTGAAGGTTCTGAGCCCTAAGTACTGATCGAATTCATATTTTCAATGTCGCCACCGATCTAGCAGGTTCAGCGTAGTGGTGTACATATCTTATGATCCTCTGTAGTATGAAGTAAAATGATCCTTTGTTTCTTTTCCCTGTTCACTTTGAAGCGTTGCTTTGGGTACTTATTAGGTCTGCGTAAACACTGACATCCAGCAATTTATTCCTTAGCAATCAACCTCCAATAAACACCAGTAAAGGACAAAGGTTTCTATCTTATTTACAAAAGACACATGAACGACACCTTCAATTTTTGTGATGACAACTTACATCTGACATGCCTCTTTCAAAATTTCAGCCACACCCACCCTTCAGTCAAATTTACACTACAAGCTGAATCAAACTCGACGTTTCATTTAGTCGACAATTCATTTCAAATAACTATTTACAGAAAGCCTATTTGGAGCGAGAAACTGAGGAGCTTTCAAAGTTGAATGTCTCTCAGTAAAAAGATAAAAATTGTGCTCTCCCTGTCATCATGAATAATAAAGATACATAGCGACGATACGCACTGTTGAGGAGTCCTATACTGGGAAGAGATGGCTTCCCGGGTGCGCCCATGTTCCAATGGTTCTCCAACTGATCTCAGTCCGTGATAAATGCCACCTTGGAATCGAATTAAACATGTTGACAAAATAAACTCATGATTCTTATGCTTTAAACAATGAAACCGGAAGAAGTGAAAATTCACTTCGTACGACGCTTATCTGTGCGTTTATGAATGAACTACGAGGTTCTGACAGACTATGTGAAATTACTTAAAAACAGTGGTGGTTTACGTGATAGGATGGTTTCATTGGTAGATATATGGAGCGACGAAATGTATACCTTGAAGATCAAAAGTTTTCTTCGTGTATTTATTATTTGAAAGGAGCTTCTACAAACTTTAGAGTTTCAACAAAAATCTTTGTGGCTTCAAATCTAATCTGTAGAGAAAATTAAAATTAAATGCAAAAACTAAAGGTTAAACCAATAATAAACCATACCAAGCTTGCCAAATAATTTATGTTTATTGCTAAGGGTTCTTCATCAGTTGACAAGGAGCTAATTGATGAACCTGACTTTGATTTTTCTTTTTCACAAGAAGACAACGATGATTCGTTGTGGTTGTCATTTTGAAGGTTAAAACCCTCAGAACGAGAACATTCTATTCGGCATACGTTTTCATCTTGATTCTTTGGATGTTCAACTTGGATGATGTTTGCCGATGTATCAGTGTTTTGAATTGCAGATGTGCTTGGAAGAGAGCTTTATTCGTTTGATAGTTATAAAAAAAGAAATGAAATAGTGCAGTTGCACAAATGTACATTACAACCGAGGTAAAATGATTTATTCAAAAAAGTCATATAATTGTTTCATAAGAATATTACTCATTTTATTTGAAAGTTACAGTAACCATGTGATCCATGCAGTTGAGCATGCACTTTACAAGGTTAGTAATCACTACAAATTACTAATGCTTAATTGAAGTAACTACGCTAGAAAAACAAATGACATAACCGTATTTAACTGACTGACGACTGTGAATGGTAAGATGCTGATCAATAATTGATAAATGACGATTAAGCGTAGGAATAAATATATCTATAAAACAACTCTCTAAAGTAACCATTTAGACAAGACTACTTCAACGCATGAGACACAACCCATTCGTGTTTTTTCATATTCTCTTGTACACATAAAACAACCTTTACACACAAACCATCTTGTTCGCTTTATCATTTGCATCCAAAAGAAATGATTTCTTTAACCATGCATCAAAATTCGACCACTGTATTTAGAATAAATAGAAAGCAAACATTAATCCATTCTCCAACCTACCAACTCAGATTTATGTGTATTCGAGTGGCAGAAATCAACATCTAATTGAAAACTGAACACTTGCTAGTTTTCGCACTGAAAATGTGTCATTAATTACAGCAGCAAAACAAATGCGACAGCGTAAGAAACATTATAACAGTAATGAATTTCGCTGCATCAAACTGAGACGAATAAACAAGCAATCTATAAAACGGATACGCAAAACACTCAGAATATGAGAATAGATAGAGATGGCATCTCAAAAAAAGTTTACACATACACATAGATGCGAATAGTCATACCTAGATGCACATGCAACTAACAAAGGAATAGTGCACCATATTTGCGCATCTTTGCAATGACATAAACCTGTACAGAGTACGATACATATACACAAAAGTATATATATATATATATGCTTTTGCTAATTTGCATAAATTCAATCAATAAAAACACGCATTAAATACAAATATGCCTTCATCTTTTCTCATGCGTCACTTGATAACATTCTGTGAACTATTTAAGTTGTAAGAATGTCTTACACGGTGAAGATACACATGTGGATCACAATGATAAGCGAGATATACCTATTTCAAACATTTCTGGTGAGCTTAGTAACGTCACGCTATATATCACAACAATATCAATATCACCTGTGCGTTGACCAAATTAGGCGACCTGTACTATAATGAATTTTGGTACTTCTTTTCTAAGGTCAAACCAGGGTGACTATGTGGAACCAATGCTATTTTTTGACGCCATGTACTACTGAGGGTCTAATTTTTTGTATATGATGCCATGATCAATCTAGGCAATATGAGCACAATAAAATTGTATAAAACAGTGAGGGGTGGGACCCCTCCCCCTAAAGGATAGCCACCCATTCTGATAGCCTTGAATATAACTAGTTAGTGTCAGCAATCATATTACCACCGGTTGATCATTTAATTGCCATTTCATTATTCGACATCATGACACCCTGCTTATTAGTACACGCGAGAAATATGAATGTTCACATTATTATGAAGTATACATTTACGATGTTGTCTAGTGAGACAATGAAAGTTTTGTGATGAAGGCGTTTAACTTATTAACCACAGACAAATTTAAGACGTGATCCAGTGTCTTCGAAATACAATATACAAAGAGATGTTTAAAGTGTTACCTAAATAATAATAATAATAATAACAATTTACCTAGAAATCTCATGTTTGGACAACGTCTTCTGAGTAGAATCAAAAAGAATCTCAGGTTTCTTAATACTAGTGATTAAACATGATGTCGGCTGTTGATTGAGAGCTGGCTTCACGGTATTTGCAATGGGAAAGGAAGAATCAGTCAAGGAGTCATGGTATTTTCCACAACTTATATTATCAGAATTCAACTGTGCTTGTTGATTTAAAAACGCGAACACGTAAGGGATTCCACGAGAAACAATCTATTCGAAGAAAAAGATTATTCATAAAAATTTAAAAATTATCTAAAACCAGCATTATACCGAAGACTGAAAGAGTGCATCTAAAGATAATTTGACGCATGCTAACTTTGAAGATCACAGAAAAACTAGCGTAAATGTCCAATAGATTTGATATTGGGTTATCATTCGATATATTTCAGCTTCTTATTAAGTGATAGGGAGTAATATACAAATAACCAGCAACTTTATGGACCTCATCAGAAACTCAACTTACCTCAAGTTATAGACTCCCCCGAATATTCAATATGAAAGAGTAATTTGTTACAACAGTAAATATCAGATTTCTGTGTGTAACTTTGAACTGGAGAAAGGTAACTTATGATCATAAAAGCTTAGGGTTGAAATAAGAAAGATGACACGTTTGACCATTAAGCGTAGGGTCAAGGGTTTAGATAAATATCATCCACGTCAGCTTTAGAGACTTTGTAATATCATATACTCTCTAACGTTTAGTAACCTTCATATCCTAGTACATGCGCTTAAGTAGTGTTCTTGGGTTAAGAAATTGCATTATGTATAAAATCCATATTGTTCATTTACATTAATCTGTATTTCAGATGTTTCATTTGTTTCCGTCACTCTGAATAATTACAACAGTAATGGCTTCTTGTAAGAGGGGAAATCGGATGCAGAAATCTTGTTCAAAAACTACCAGGATGTGTTCGTATATGCCTGGACAAAGCAGGTAAATTTTGTGTTGGGTGGTGGCTAGCAATGTAATCTGAAACAAAGGTCCCCCAGTAACTAAGACCCATCAACTAGATATACCTGCATCCCACTGACTCATGGTGTTTCTGCTGAAATTCGAACTAAACAACGGTCAGCATAATAATAAAGGCAGATCAATTCGGTTCAGCAAAATAAGTATCGCTAAATAACACCCGATAGCCGATGTGCAATCAGTGGCTTTTGTGATTTAGCATCCCAGTGGACAATATTTTTGCTTTTGAAGTAACAAGCGCTAGATCAGTTTTTAATGGGAGAACCATAACTAACTAGGATTGAGTAAACCCGGTTGATTAGTCCTAAAGAGAGCGAAAAGAACTCACTGGTTTCTACTCCTGGTCACTGGTAGCTAAATAACAGAATAAAACTCAAGGCAACAATTGAGGCATTTACAAAAATACCGTATATGCCAATGGAAACGACCAATTTGGTATGGTACAATAAACAACGGGAAATCAAAATCATACATAAATAAGAAGCAGAAACGTTACGATTTATTAACTTAAGTCTCATCTGCGTTTCGATAACAGTACTACTGTTTGTCCCCACAATATTTCAGCCTCATCAATAGACATAAATTTCTCATCTATGTAATAACACATGACCGGTTACAAACCAGTTCTCCATGGACGCGAAATATTAGGGATACTGGAACACACACACACACACACACACAATGATACTCAAAAATGTCAAAAACAACCTATCACTTTATAGTTAAATGCTAGTCATTGTAAAAGGCTGACGAAAATGTAACCTAATAACATACATTCAGGTTATTCAGCTTGAGTAATTGTTCTGACTTTTTCGAAACGAACAGACATTTCTTTTTGAAACGATTTTAGTTACTGACGTTCTCCGGGTCGCATTTCATCGAATTCGTCAGATTTCGGTAGCACCAAGAGGCATTAACTGTCAATCAAACCTTAACATCAACATCACGTGCACTGAATGTAGATTTATATTATTAATCAGTCAGTCAGTAAACGTGTGTAACTTGCAGTCAATACATGGTGACCAAAGCTGCCCTATTGCACATCATAACATCAAGAAAAGATGCACCAGGATGAAAAACAATGAAACGGAAATAATATCAGAAGTCACAGGAAACCATTGCACAAAAAGAATAAGAGTTGGGACAAATAACCAAGCGTGATATAATAGTTAGGATGAAAATAAGATAAGGATACATCCGTACCAAGGACGTTGATTCTCAGCTGTCACCAAGAGTTTCAGTTTCATCGATTTCACTTGCCACACAGACCCCAACCTGCAGTTTATATTTCCCCACGTGGCTCAAGCCAACATTCAGAGACTTCAATGACTGATTCTACATTTCAGTCTAGCCATCCTTTCCCAACATTGTGAGTCATAGTATAGAATGATTACCTAAGCAAAAAATATCTCATGCACCTTGATCGACGAGTGTTAACCAGCACATCAACTGAGCGAATTATACTACCTAAAATCCTATGCGTAGCTTATACATATATATGGGCAGTTCTACAAAGGCAACACTGGTCAAACTCCTGAAGCCACCTCCAGTGGTCATGATTTGCAGCCAAAGCATGCTGCGTAGTACATTCGACCCGTATTTAGCAATTAAATGACTGCCTGCTACCAAAAATGGTGCTAATCTGTGTCGAGACTTCATCAGCTACTAATCCACCTAAGGTGATCTAATCTATCAAAGAAGATGAGTAGTCAACACAGATGTCATTTGTGTTAGTTAGAAAGATACATAGTAATGAGTCCAATACAGTGGAAACTCAACACTAAACCCAGCCTACTCATATTCCATTCTATAATGCTCATAGAAACAAACTGATTTTCTAAGTGCTTTATGTTAACAGAAAAATCATGTACTTACTGAATACCTTAGCTAATAAAATGGCAGTATTGTGGTTAAATTGTCGCTAATTGACTTTTACAACGGTATAACTGTTAACTTTTGTGTAGGCCACATTTAAAAGATTCATACTATTTACTTGATAATGATATAATTATTACTTACTGCGATAGGGGGAGAGCAAAGAGGATTATCTTCCAGAGACAACCTTTCTAGGCATAACATAAATCTAAGGTTCAATGGTAAGTGCTTCAGTTTGTTTGACCGTAAATCTAAAATCCTCAGTTCTCGAAGATCACTTATTTCTAAAAGGAGAGAAAACGCAGACGAAAAGTAGTAACAATTTAACTAGTATACACGAAGAAATATGAAATCAGATGCATAGTTAACTGTTTGACTGCTGAAATTTCTTCGAAAATATTCGTTGCATAAAGTGCTTGAAAACGTCTCAGTCTCGATTGCTTATTGTTGATCTTAAGAACTTCTCATGAACCTTTTTTGAAAGCACACTATCACTAAGTTATGTAAAACGTCCACTGACTTTCTGAAGCGAAAGATATCAGTAAAGGACACAGAGAGATTATTTAAAGTCTCTTATAAGTGATACGGAGATCACAAACCACGTTTGAAACTGAAAACTAACACCCACTGAGTACTGAATGGCCTACAACTGCTCAAAAACTATGTATAAGTGAAGAAATGTTAGATTACTTCTATTTTATGATATTTATTTCATAGTGATAAGTTACTCCTTCCATAGAGTAATCAGTGAACCGGCTGTTTAGTTTACTAATTTTGTATGTAACACCCAGTCATTTGGATGAAAATAAATAATAACTTTGGTAATTTTCTCCAGTTAGCTAGATTACATCTGGAGCCAATGTTTATGTTCTTTTGCAGATATAACGATAAGTTCAGCCGATAAGCCTTGTGGTTAAATCTCTAACTTTATCTATTTGCTTAGAATAAAAAATAAACTTGGCCAATTTTCGGTAATTCGACTTATTCACAATAGGGAAAAGATCGAATAAAGCAGAAAACTGCGAATTTTCTGTGAAGATTTTAAGAAAAACCGCATCATAAGCAATGTTCATAAGTTTCTTAGCATTAAACATAGTAGTTTACGGTGACTTTGTGTTAAATTGGTAGGGTTTAAAAGACACCACAAAAACTTCATTTTTGTAACAATTATAAATAAGCCTTAGTCTTTTGTGGTGTTTTAACGTATCCCGACCAATAATGAACTGGATGGTTTGGAGTGTACTAAACACTGCACTTTACGTCAAAATGTTCTTAAAGGCATCATTCGGTAAAACAAATCAATGTAGGAAACATATAAACTGTTCATTAAATGACTAAATCCATTTAAATGATCAGCAGCAACTTAACATCGATCATATCATTGAACATATGCAAGGGTAACTAAGACTATCCATTAACTTTTAACAATTTAAAACAATACCAATAATAAAAAGGGGATTTATGAAAACAAAAATATTTTGGCCTTTTCTGTAATGTCCTACCAACTTCTTTCATATTTCGGACTAGTGAAGAGATAGCACAATCGAATGATATTTGTTCGTTATTAATACCATAGCACCACAAGAAAATGTGGCGCTCGAAAAGATGAATACGAGTCTTTAGAGAGTCAATCGGCTAAAACGTAATGTAACAGAAGTGACTTTTACAGTCACTTAGAGGAAAGATGTCTTATAGGCATGAGATCAAAATAGATTCTAGGCCTTTAAATCACTAAGCGTGATTTCGATGTACCTTTTTATGTGTTACATACATCATTAAGACATCATCGTGAAAGTATAAACCGCATACGTAGATATAAAAAATAGTCTGACACAAAGTGAAGTCACCTCCCTCCGTATAAGTATTAGAAGAATCCAAGAAGCTAAACAAAATCAAATGATACGAATAAACCTGTTTTTAACATTTATTGAAAACCCAAAAATACCAGTCTGATATCGCCTGGTTAAGGAGAACTTAACAATGACCTATAAATAGCTTTGCGGTAGCTAATTAACGCAACATGAAGTTTGATGCTGGGAAATGTGGAACGTGTTAACGTCTGACTGGTGGTTCTTATAAGAGAAAATAAGAATATTTGACGAAGAAATGCGGGACAACTTAGGAAGTAAGATAGAATGGAAAGATTGTTTTATAAACTGCGCTGAATATCATATTTAATAAGTAGTTTTCCTAGCAAACAATTAAATCTATACCCATCAGTGTTATTCTCCACAATAGCACAGCGATAGATATCTACAAGTACACTAGAAGCCAAAATAATCAACCTAACAAAACCTTAATTTAATTATTTACTATCAGCTACCTTATCGCTTATATACAAGTTAAATGAACTGTCTTTTATCAATATGCAAAACAGTGACGCCTTATAGAAACCATTCAATTATGAGGATATATTATCTGCTAGGATGGACGATGGGTGCGCCGAAGGGGTGAACAGACAAAAAAATACTCAAAAGGCCTTGAGACTTGTAGCAAACATGGACTGATGTTTTACGAATTGGCTTCAAGATTTATTTGACCAAGGTATTTGGCTTCATGTGTTAAAATTTATGACACATACTTACAAACATCAAAACCACCCGGGTACTGCTTGATTACAGAAAAATTCAAGGTATTCGTAGAATGAAAATATTTTAACATAAAGAGATTCTAATATAAGTGTGTTTCTTCGGGTGATTACCTTCTGGGAGCTCTTCAATAAGGTTACTTCCAACCATTAGAACCTTCAAGTTGTGAAGTGAGCATATTGTCGAGGGAAAAACTTTGATTCCATTAAAGGATAAGTCCTAATACAGAACTGCGGATTTAGAATAATAATTACCAATTCCTGAAGATATTTCAATTTAGAAAAATTTGATGGCAAAGAGGACAAAAAATTGTTGGAAATCAACAACGATCGTAGATTTGAGAGATCACACAAGAAGCTTGGCAGTGAGAATATTTTATTGAAGCTGAATTGAAAAGATGAGATAAGTGGTGCAAAGTATACTTTGAGGTATACCTTAAATTTAAAACTGTTAGTAAGCTGCACTCCTTTATTCGGCTGGGAAGATTAGTTATTTGGTTACTGGATAAGTCCAAACTTTCGGTAAACTTTAGTGACTGGATAGAAGTGGAAAGGTTCTTCAGTCTACAATTCGAAAAGTCTTTACAAAATGATTTCAAAGGTAAACCGGCTCAAAATACTCGCTTTGATCTCCAGAGAGTAGTTTGAAAACAAGTAGCTCTTTGAAATGATTTCACTCTTGGGTGAATCAACAAGCCTTTCGGGTGCAACAGAGCTGTCAAGCATTAATTCTTTTTCATTTCGAAGAGGATCGAAATCTAAAACGCCACAGCGTCATGTCCTTGAAAAGCGAAGCAATAAAACACTGATACTTACAATCTCACTGCTTTTAAATTTCATTTTTGAACATTTCGGAATTATTTTTTACATCGATCATTTACCTAATAACTCAGAAACAGAATGCAGTGTAGCATTAATTTGGTTTACCGAGAAATAATTAATTTACTGTTTGACATTACAGATCCGGACATCAAACAGTTGTTGGAATTGGTTGTAACAGCAATAATCATAAGACATTTTCCCCATTCCAAGCCATAATTTTACATTTCAGAATTCCATCAGTTTACTCGTTGTATAATTTCAAATATACATTAAAAATGGTGCTGGTTAGCAATGAGTAGTGGTGAATAACGGAAAGCAGGAAGAATGAAAAGATATTCAGCGAGGAGGAGGGAGAGGACGTGGGAAAGATAAAGGAAGTCATGGGGAAACCTAGTTAGACCCAGGGTAGATGGGAAAGAAAATAGTGATGAGAAGAGACCTAGTAGATAGGGTGAGAGAATAGACAGTCAGAGGGAGGATAATGTGCAGATATTATTACAGACGAGATAACGGAATTCGAAATGGTGATTTCGTCGGCAGGAATATGGAGACTGGAGGCAAGGTGTGTAACAGGGAACTGTAATTTGAGTCATTTTCTCGATGTTAGCGGTAGTACAATAGAGTTGGTATGCAGTGACTATGTCGGGGTGAAGTCGAATAGGTCGGCGTCTACTGCCCAGTCCGCATCTCAGCTGGATAAGTGTGAGTTGTGTGCCGCTGTATAGTTGTCCAACCTGTTATTGAAGCTGTCGACAGATTCAGCAGCAGCGGTCTGGGTAGACAATGCGTTCCATTAGCCGAAAAGTTGTAGGAAAAAAGTGCGAACGCACATTAGTTTCTGCTCCTTGGCGAACGACTCTCCTTCGGTTATCGCGATGAGTGCCACAGTAAAGACTAGGCAGACCTCCACTGCTCAGATGACCTGATTACTTAACATATTTTACACCATGAGCAAGTCACCGCTTAACCTTCGGGGGCCAAGAGAGTCATGGCCTTAATCCTTCAGTTTATCCCGGCTGGATTTTTATCGCATTCCCACAACGCCTTTTGTAGCTCATCTCTAGACCTGTGACAGAAGATTCACATCACTTTTTGGGTGTAGTGGTGCAACGATGTTGTGGACCTCAAAGTAAGTCATACATGGGTCTTGCAGATGTTCAGAATGATTTCCGATGTGACAGAGGCTGAGAAACAAGGGTATTTCATTTACAAAAAGAAGGAATAACAGTGCACCAATGATCCCTACTTCCGATACACCAAATAGTGATCTTCTCTATTCTTATTGCAAATAGACTCTTGGAAACCTGCAATTACATTGGAATTACGATATTTCATCAGTACTATTCTTAAATACCATTGCATCCATCTTCAAGCAACTCCAGTGCAATCGTGCGACCTGTGATGAAAATCCTTATGGCATCACACGAGGATACTTCCAAGAAGCTTTTCGGCATTTATCAATCCGCTGTTTCATTGATTTGCGCCATTTCATCCAAAGTATCTGTAAACGGCATACAAAAATGCAGAAAAACACTTACAACTTTATCCAATATTCACCGAGCTATTAAGCACAATGTGGGGAAGCATGGCGGTTACTGTAGACATATGTCCAATTTAGCATGAACAAACAAAAGCAGATCATTTCATCAGGAAGATGATATACTGTTATCAGTATTATTTGTTGTGGTCTATACAGTACATCTTGGCGTTTCAATGAATCAGAAGATGCATGTCTTTTGAAGGACATTGAATTTGCCGTGGTACTTCGCTCAATATATATGATCCTTCAAATTAAAGCACTTGAGTAATTTAGCCGGCATTACTTTTTTCGAGCAAGAAATTGCTCTTCTTTTTAAGTGATGACTTTACATATTTATTGTACACGACTACCATTTCTGCCAGATAACTTAAAGACATAACAAAAATTCTAAATTTGGAATAATGTTCACCATTCCTATGTGGTGTGAAGTTTTTTTCTCCAGACTGGAGGTCTCCACTACTTGGAATGAAAACATGATAAACAATTTATTTGTAAGGGAAAGTATTGCCACCACTAATTGTTATAACCTTACCCGTGAAAATGATATGCACCTGTAAGTTCAGGGGTAAATTATTATTATTATAAGTCCTGTTTACTTTCTCGCTGTCTGGATGGTCCTCCAGACACGCTATCAGCCGACCTCTGATATCCAGCCTTGCTGCATTTCGCATGGAAACGGTGAGTGAGACTGTATCAAGGCTTCACCAAAGTCCGGGAAATCACATGAACGCGGACTCAGATGTCCTAGCGTTTCATCCAGATACCACCTGAGGCTGGGAGGCGAACGACCTGTTACTTCAGGAACCATGTTGAACATCACACGATCTCCACTTCTTCGTTCAGCCATTTTAGCAGTATAGAAAGCTCTTCATCACTTTCGGTAATTGGTCACGGGAGAGCAACCAACTTCCCGCCGTTTAGCCTTGAGTGTACATCAAAAAGTAGCTGGCTTACAGGTGATTCCGACTTCCATTTGTAAAATGTCTTTGCCATATTAATTAGCCATCATCCGCAGCAACTACTCCACTTGATGCACGTGAAAGGGCTTTAAACGTCCTCAAGTACCTGCGTAATTGTTGACACTGGTGTCTGGGCTTGGCTTGGTACCCTTTGAGAAGGTTTTTTGAACGTCAGGTATGATGTTTAGTTCCAGAAAAACTAGGTCGCACTAAACGTGGGGCGTCGGCGAGTACAAAAACACGGAATATGTCCGATGTCAGCCTTCGACTTGGCACCCGATATTTGCGATATTCCTAGAAAGTATATCATATCTCCCATCATCATAATGTGATAGAACGTCCACATCATTTAACATCTCCTGATGAGAAGTGCAGGGATTACTACCGCTCCCATCCATCAATTGAAGATGACCCATATTATCAGGTCTCATAAACTCGCTTTTGTCTTCACAACACCCACCAGCTGAATAGTTATCTTCTTTCAAAATCTGAGGACTTGTGGATGTATCTGTCAC